TGTGGGAGAGTCCATTACAATAGAATAGGTAATATGGCATGACACCATGTAAGATAAATTAAACTTATGAATCAAAATAATTAAAAAGCAAAAATAGTATTAACTTTTGAGACCCTTTCGTGATTTTAAAAAACGTTATACAATTATTATTTTCGGCATTATTTAAGCTTGAAAATTATGCGCTTGATAATCGAAATTTTCTTAATGTCTGACAAGAAAAATCAAAATTGCAAAGGACGTTAACCAAAATACACGGTGTTCTGTTAATACGAAACAATGGTGTTGAATAAAGAAATTAACGAATGAGGAGGCGGTCAACAAATAGGGAAAAAGAAAAGAAAAAAATAATAAAGAATCGGGGAATATTAGGAAAGAGGAGAAGACGGAGAAGAAAGAATAAGAAGCGTCAAAAGAATTTTGAAGAAGAAAAGGAAAAAGATGGAAAAGTAGAAAAAAGATGGCGGGTAGGTGAAGGAAGCAAAATGAAGCTCAAGATAAGTAATAACCACCGGACGAGACTTTAGGTCATTGAGATCTCCATTCCACCTCAAAGACTAATGAATGCACGAAGAGAAATTTGCGAAGACAAATAGAATTGAATTAAACTTGTAACGAACTCTTGGAAAACTGAGAAAATCTAAAAACCCTCTTTGATTTAACGACCACTGAATCCCAATTTTCAACCACTATTATTATGATAATTACTACTACTATTATTATTATTATTGTTGTTGTTGTTGTTGCTGCTGTTTTTATTATTGTTTCATTCGAGCACATACATTTACATAGAGAAATCTTTTTGTAATGGGAGAGCTATACTTGTGAGTAAAGTTTTTTGTGTTTCTTTAAGGCATAGGCTACCAGTAATCCCTTCAATGAGTCTATCGGAACATTTTTCAATCAATCCAAGATCTCCAACTACAATTGAAGTTATAGATGTCCTCATGTGCCACATTTTTGAGATTTCAGCTTCAAGTTGTATTTTAATAGTTTTTGAAGATCTTCAAAGATACGTTTACAATCTCCTGGGACTGCCATATCAATAAGAAAGCACATTCTGTTCTTGTAGTCTTTGATCACGATGTCTAATCGAATAGATTTGATTGTTCTGTCTGAGTGTATCGTAAAGTCCCATAAAATTGTTACAGGTCCTGTTTCTCTGTAAACGGGGATGGGTGAGGTTCATACCAGTTTCTTGCAGTTTCTTTCCAGTAAAAGTTGAAATATTTCCCAATGCAGATATTATTATTATGAATTTTATATTCATTGGTTGCTAACGCTGTACAACCTGATACAAGATGGCCAATTGTTTCTGGAATATTTATCACAGAATCTGCATTTTGGGTTAACACGATTTTTTAGTAATTGTGCTTGGTAATTTCTAGTTAGCAAGAATTGGTCCTGTCAGTAAGAATAAAATCTTCGATTTCACCTTTTAACTCTGCAGTTCTTAGCCACTGATGAATACGGGGTTTAATATTATTAGTAGTATTATTATTATTGTTGTAGTTGTTGTTGTTGTTGATGATGATGATGATGATGATGATGATGATGATGATGATTTTTGCCGTTCTATATGATACAAGAGCAGACTCCAAAGAAATAGAAAAGAATGAAAAGTACCAGAACCTGACTTGCGATTTGAATAAGCCATGGAACATGATTGTTGAGTCAATTCCTGAATTGGCGCGTTTGCAAAAATAACGCTTAAGGAGAATTGGAATTACGATCAAGATGCAAACCTCCAGAAAATTGCCATCATTTATTCTGCAGGACTCTCCGAAAAGTTCTTGAGTTGTGAGGAGTTTGTTAATACCATGCCTCAAGAAGTGACTACTGCAATGTACGACATCACAATTCCTAAAGATAAAAAAAGCACACGATTTGACCTCTTTTGTTACTTCCGGTTCTTAGCAGATGGAAACAGAGAATTTATCTGAATATCTCGGTGCAGCAATGATCAGTGCAAAAATGACAACCGACTTAGAACATACAATCAAACGAAAAAGGATTTTGAAATGTCATCATCCCACAAGGTTATCACAGATTTTATGAAAAGCAGATCATCGGCCTTAATATACAAAACATAAAGCAAAATAAAGTAGAAAAATGCATTGGAAAAAAAAACCTGACAAGTGAAAAGGCTTATCTTCTTTGAAAATCATCATCCCAGCATTTATTTAAACTCGAACACCGACCGCTCTTGAAAGAGAAAATACACACAATGCGCAATCACAGGACGCTACTGAATATTTGTTTATTTACTAATTGTCTTTTCATATGGCTCATATCCATAATCTTCCCTTTTACTAATATGGATCTTATCCAAAGCAAATACCAATGCACGCAAACCATGAATATATATATATATATATATATATATATATATATATATATATATATATATATATATATATATATATATATATATATATATATATATATAAGTCCATGCAGTAAAACGGAATTATATATATATATATATATATATATATATATATATATATATATATATATATATATATATACTTGTCTGTGTTTATATATCTGTATATCTCTCTCTTTCTTTCTCCCTTTCTCTCTCTCTATATATATATCCCTTGAAAATGGCTATAGAAGTGGCCGAAAGCGCTTGAGACAATACAAAATTATGGAGAATTTTTTTATATTCTTTTACTCAAACAAAACGGGAAACATTATGATGCTGGTAAAACTTCATAAGAAACAAATTCAATCTTCCTTGTCGGCCGAATTCAATGAAAGATGTTTAAAAGAAGGGTTGCTGCCAAAAACATACATTGATATATATAGAGAGAGACAGAGAGACAGACAGAGAGAGTGATGGAGAGAGAAAGAAAGAGAGAGATATACAGACAAGCATATATATATATATATATATATATATATATATATATACATATATCATAATGTTCCCTTTTACTCGCATGGACTTTATCTAAAGGAACTACCATGTTACACAATCCGTAAATATATATATATATATATGTGTGTGTGTGTGTGTGTGTGTGTGTGTGTAATAATTGTGTATTTGGGCAGCAATCCCTCTTTAATACATGTTTTGTTAAACAAAACTGGCAAAATACTTTTGTTTAGGCTTTTTACTGTGTTTTCTTTGTATGCGTACAAATGTTTTCTTTTCTTCCTTTAATGAATGTAAAAACTGTACAAACGTGTGTTGGTCTTGAGCGCTTTCGGCTAAACTATTACCAAATCTTTTTGTTATTACCATTAACAAATCTTTTTGTTATTCTTTTACAATAAATAGTATGTAGTATGTAGACAGCCTAAAAATGACTGAAAAGTAAACTCTTGAATAAGGCTAGTACATCATGGCCGTGTTCATAATTGATGTTATTAAAGGCTGGTGTTGTTTTTTTACAAAATATAATAGAAGCTCTTATAAAAAAAAAGCAACCCTTAATAAGCTCAATTATGAACGCGGCTAAATTGTATTCTCCGTATTTGGAAACTAAGAGTATGTCTAATTTTCAGCAACTTTTAGATGGAACAATCTTTGTATTCGTTCGGTCCAGTCAAGAAAATACTTGTACGCATAAAAGAAAAATATAAAATACGAAAGAAAACTAATTTGTCAGTTTTGTTCAGCGAAAGCAACGGAAATGTATTTCTACAGAAGGATGCTGATTGTACTGTGGACCGAATATGTGAGCAACGACGAAGTTTTAGAGAAAATGGAAAGAAAAAAAAGGACACATGCCTTAGATTAGGAAGAAACAATTGAAATGTCTTAGGCATATGACGAAGAAAGGGGGCTTGGAAAATCTGATACTCATAGGAGAGATTGAAGGCAAGAGGGGCAGAGGAAAGCAACGTATTATCTAATTTTTCAGCTTGTGCAAATGGATGGCGGAACAGAGTTAAGGAGAAATAAGGAGAAATAAGGGGAGATTGTATAGAGCTATGAACGCCTACGTCCTAAAAGGAAACGGTATATAAAGGAGAAGAAGAATTCGAAATTGCAATCATGATCATATATACTTATCACAGAATATGAAGTCTTAGAAATCGTCTCTCTTCTACATAAACTTCAACCTACGATTCTATAGACAAGACTGGTGAAAGACAAGACCGGTGAAAGACAAGACCAATTCCTTCAGTCAAGAAACTAAAGGTTCTATGAAAAGAGCAAATATGATTTAGTCGTGTCTTATTTTTATTTAGAGATATTCAATTGTTTTCCTCTTGGATTCGATGAAGTGTCCTCTTTTTCTCGACGCCATCAAAGTAACAAACAGCAGGGATTCAACTAAAGAAAATAAAAAGAAAAGGTATAATGCAGTATAATGCCAATGTCAAAATTGTGATTTGAGATTAAAGTAATGCTCCCCCAGTTGAGCATCCATTTGTGTGCAGTCGATATGTTCTCTAGCATCGAAGAATCTTTGGGCTACCATCAGTGGAGCATGATAAGAGGAGGTCTTAATCAAAAACATCTTTGCAAATGGAGATTTGTGAAAAGTTGAAGGCAAAATACGAAAAAAATACAGTCAGTAAAAATGATTTATGTCTGTCAAGTATCCCATTAATCTTACGAGAAAAACCGGACATGGTGACTTCATTATTTTCTATTTAATTTTTACACACACACACACACACACACACACACACACATACTCTCTCTCTCTACATCTCTCCTATTCTCTCCCCCTCACTCGTTCTCTATCTCTCATTATCTACCTCTCTCTTACTGTCTTTTCCCCTCCCTCTCACTTTCTAGCACTTTCTTTTTTCTTCCGTTTACTGTATCTGCCGACATCAATCTTTTCCCTTATTCTTGTGTGCATTCTTTTTTCTTCTTGTCTTTTTCCAGCTCTACCCAACCTCGGCTTCTTTTATTCTTTTTTTTCCGATCTTTTTCCTAAATTCTTGCTGTTTTGACTCCATTTGTCTTTTTCTTTCTTTCTTTCTTTCTTTCTCTCTTTATTTATTTATTTATTTATTTCTTGACTTCTTTTTAGTTTTATTCCCTTTCATTTTTGAACAACTTTTTCTTTTTTCTTTTTTCTTTCTTTCTTTCTTTCTTTCTTTCTTTCTTTCTTTCTTTCTTTTTAGTTTTGTTCCCATTCGTTTTTTAACAACTTTTTTCTTTCTTTCTTTCTTTCTTTCTTTCTTGACTTCTTTCTTTCTTTCTTTTTAGTTTTATTCCCATTCGTTTTTTAACAACTTTTTTCTTTCTTTCTTTCTTTCTTTCTTTCTTTCTTTTTCTTTACTTCTTTCTTTCTTTCTTTCTTTCTTTCTTTCTTTCTTTCTTTCTTGACTTCTTTTTAGTTTTATTCCCTTTCATTTTTGAACAACTTTTTCTTTCTTTCTTTCTTTCTTTCTTTCTTTTTTCTTTCTTTTCCTAAGCATTCTTCTTCCTTTCCTCATCTATCTTCCTTTAGTTCTTTTCCTCGACTTTTCTTACTTTGTTAAATTTTCCTTCTTACTTCCTTCCTTCCTTTCTTTCTTTTTATTGCATTTTTCTTTCTTTCTTTTTTCTTCTTCATTCTTTCTTTTTTTTTTTCTTCTACATTCTTCCTATCATTTCTCCTTTTCTCTTCGTTATTTTATCTACATTCCTTCTTTCGTTTTGCCTCTTTTTATACCATTCTATCATTTTTCCCTCGAAATTGTTTCTTGTCTTTTTGTTCAACATGTTTCTTTGTTTCTTTCTTTCTCTCTACGTTCCTTCTTTCTGACACTTTTTCTTTTTTGCTCTATATTCATTCATTCATTCATTCTTTCTTTCTTTCTTTCTTTCTTCATCTCTTTATTCTTTTTCTTTTCTTCTATATTCTTTCTCCTTTTTACCTTTACATTTTTCTCCCCTTTTTGCTTTCGCTTCTCCTTCTTTGTTTCCCTATTACTCACTACATTTTCATCTTTCACCCCCTCTCTCTCTCTCTCTCTCACTCTATCTATCAATCTTTATTTTTGCCCCCTTTTTTTCATTCTCTCCGCTTTCCTTTCTTTCTGTCTTTTCTGCATATTTTGTTGATTCGCATGAAAATATGCAAGGAGATATTCTCTTTATCGTTCATCTTTATGTCCCTCTCTCTCTCGATTTTACTCTTTCTCTTCATATTTCTCTCTCTTTCTCTCTCTCTCTCTCTTTCTCTATCTATCTATCTATCTATATCTCTTACTTTCTTTCCTTACTTTATCTAACCTTTTCTTTCGCCTCACCGCTTCCTTTTCTGTTTCTTTATTTTTCTTCTTAGTTTTTATTTTATTTTCATTTTACAAGTATCAACATCTTCTGTAAAACAATATGGCTCTTTCTCTCTCTCTCTCTCTGTGTGTGTGTGTGTGTGTGTGTGTGTGTGTGTGTGTGTGTGTGTGTGTGTGTGTGTGTGTGTGTGTGTGTAAGTAGCTGAGTTTATAGATATGTTTGTAATGGTGGACCTTTGCTTGTCTGCGTAAATGCTTGTATAAACTTTTGAATGTACGGATATGCATACATATTTAACTATAAACACACACACACACACACACACACACACACACATATATATATATATATATATATATATATATATATATATATTCGTGTATGCATAGTTAAATGGCTCTACCATGTATTTTTTGCAGATGAATTCAAGTTAAACTGTCAGAGTCTGTCTATAAATCTTCTTCAACTATATATAAAAACATTTCTCTGACTTTCAACTGGAAATGACTTAAACGCAACTGCTTTTGGCTACCTAATACAGGGGTGGGGCAGTCAATAATTGCGGGTGGAATTGTTCTCAAGATGCAATAAACGGGGGTGGCCTTAAAGCGGGGGATTGGAAAATTATCTAAAGGATCAAACAATGCCAAATGAAAAACGACTTCGCGTGGTGGTCAGAAAATTTACTGCTAAAAATCAACGAACTTCTATTAAAAATTCTTCTTTTAATTTTCATTAATTTTGGGCGATTTTCTGAGGATTTCTTCGAAATGTTTCGATAGTCAACTTTAACACTAATCACGTTTTTTTTTACATTTTGTTCAGCAATCAGACATATTCGTTAAATGACTTAATGCCGTTTTTACTTAACTTTTCGAAACTTTACAACTCTAGATTTTTCTCTACTTAAACGTTGTGTATATGACAATGAAGATGCGGATAACAGTCTGGATAATGTAAATAATGCAAGTAATCATGAAGATTGTTATGAGTAAAAAATTTTAAATGATTTAAGCTATGTAAAAATGAACAAAAATTAATCAGTGCCAGCTAATTTCTCTCTCCTTTTTGGGACATGCAACAGTCACTTTTTCTTTATCGTAAAACTTCTTAGATATTCCACGAAACTCGCATGAAACAAAAAACAATTTAAATATAATCTGTTTCTATGATTTACAAAGAATATAATCGTTAATCGCAAACGGAAAGTCGCTATTTTTTGGTTGTCAATGAATTGAAAACTTTTCGTGTCAATTCTTTAGGTTGTAAAATAAAATTCTAGCTGACATTTTGTCGTAGATGACCAAAGACAAAAAATAAATTGATTCAATTCAAATTTTACAGGAAAAAAGTCATTTTCATTTTATGAATATCTTTATCTACTTTATATATATATATATATATATATATATATATATATATATATATATATATATATATATATATATATATATATATATATATATATATATATATATATATATTATGTCATATTTTAAATCAATAATTTAAATAAATATATATATATATATATATATATATATATATATATATATATGAAAAGTGTATATAAATATAAATAAATATATATATGTATAATTATTTATATATTATATGCGCGGTAGCGTGAAACCCAGGGTCACAAACTCACATCTATCCAACCAAATATATATATATATATGTGTGTGTGTGTG